ATTTGTATATTAAAAATAATTTGAATATAATTTTCAGTTAGGTTTAGTGATTGGTATTTTGCAGAAATGTTTTTCAATATACAGTATGTTCTTTTATAAAATTCAAAAAACTGAAATGTTCAAAATTCTGATCCACGAAAGTTTTGGGTGATAGCGTGAAATTAGAAATTCCACCAAATGTAGTCACATATACCAGTCAATGTTGAGCGGCATACAATGAAATAAGCTGAAATCAGCCTGTACTAAATCACTATAACTACACACCGGCAGAGAACTAATTATTTTGATTGGCTGCTGAGGAGAAGACCTTTCAGAAAAATACCTTATATTATGAAAACCTCCATAAACATTTCAATATTAAATTGCTCATTTAATAGAGTTATCAGTTTCTAATGAGACCCAGCTAGAAGCAATACATTTCCGCTGACTTACTTTGGTTATTAATACAGGGTTGAAGAGTAAAATGAGAGCTATAAAATGGTAAAAGAATCACTTAAGTCCGACATTTCATTATGAAGTTACAAGAGTTTAAACATACAGCTGTTTAAAGAACAATATTTGAGAAATTTTTTCCGTTCTCTGACGATCATTAACAAAATAAGTTTGTGAGACAAGGTATAAAAAAATTCTTGCTTAGGGAAAATATGTTATCATTTTAATTTTTAACAGAAAGGTAATAATTTCAAATATTGCATTTTATGTTTTTTTATTTCAACAATGACGGTTATAACTTTAATTAGCTGATCATATTCCTTTTAGATATTTTTGTCCCCCGAATTCAATAACAATGTTAAAAATTTTTTAGTTGACTGATCTTCAATTGATTAATAATGTTATAGGAGGCGCTGCCATGGTCTCTGGCTCTATGACAGTACACACAAAACTCGCAGCTCTTTCCAGTGAGTCTATCAATTTTTATGACCAAAACCTGTGATATACCCATATATGGGTATGGCCAATAAAAAGATAACAATAGTTTCTCGTCCCCTTGTGAATTCATTTGCCCTGCCTCACCAAATTTTTTTAAAATTTTTATTTATTTATTTTTTTTCTTCACTTTATGAAAATCTGGCTAACTCACATCAGTTTGAGAATTCCTCTCTTGATCGTTCGTGGTTGGGGATACACTTAGAATGAATCGTGTCTAGTGCTTCTTTTATTTGCTTTCAATTTGTCTACTTGGTAAAAGTGAGAAAGTAGTAGCTGTTTCCCATCCACCATCTTGGATTTGCCATCTCGGAGTAAAAGAAAAAGGAAAGTGCCCTCATTCTCTTTTTTCAAAATATTAGGATGAGAAACTACTTTTTTTTTTACTTGGCCTAATCTTAGTAGTTGCTATTCCATGACAGGAATATCTGGCTGTCATTGACTGATAAACAGTTGAATGAATACACTGCTGACATACTTATTTAGAGAGATTTGACTGGTGCTTGACAATTGATTTATAATTTAGTGTCATTTATTATTTAACTTAATTTACAACATACATATTATTACCTATAGATGTTAGTTTAAAATTTAGAATTTTCTATGGAAACAATTCTTGATAAATTAATATCTATCAACCTGGCTGTTTTTAATTGACCTCTGGATAATAGAAGAAATTTGTTTTCCTGCGCAGAAAGTGAGGATCTTGCAAATGTCATCATTTCTTCTTCTTATGCAGTGAGCCATCCAGTTCTGTTATTGAAGTTAAAAGAAATTCTGGATTAGCTACGGTCTTGGTAATTTTGTAAAGGGCCTCACTACTGATTTGATTTTTTTTTTTTTAATTCTCTCAATTTCTTGTTTTAATAGTTTCCTTCATGCATGACATCCATACTGTATGTTAGTCGGCTTTGAACCAGCCCATTCAAAAATTATATTCGGGTCTGAAGATATATATGCCAATTAATGAGAAGGCTTCTATTTTCAGCAAATGCCGCTTTGGCAGAGTTTATTCTTTGGCAGTTGTTTATCTTGATGATGTTATCAGGGTATATACCATCGCTCTCCTCTTGCCAGTTCCATACGATTGTTTCAGTTTCTGTGGACATGGTCGTAAGCTGCTGACAAGTCTATAAAGCATGGATAATGTTTACGCTTGGATCTGGTGGCTATTTTTTGGAGTTGTTTACACATGTATAATTTATCACTGCACCCTTTTCCTGTTCTGAAGCCAAACTGTGTTCTTGACATTTGGTCTTCATAGAAAGCAGATAATCTGGTCGCTATTCATTTTTTATTTACTTGGCCTAATATAACATTATCATTTCCATATATGGGCAAATTACACAAATAGGTCACACTGAACTTAATGTGGACACAGCTAACAATATATAACCATACATACTCAACAGCACACACTTAATTTAAGTACTCCACACTCTTTTTAAGCATCCAAGATTTTTTATTACTATGATTTACCTATTTCATGGCTATGATTAAAAGGTCACAGAAAGGGGATAAGGTCAGATATACTCAATAGTAGGCCTAAGTAGATTCAGCAACCATAAATAACTCACTCAAACTTCCAGTAGGGCCTGCAACATTTTCCATAGTAATTACCCTATAACCAGTAGGACTTATCCAATTAATTTTCAATTTTAGTAATCTCATGCAATATTCATCAAAATTCAAACTAAAGGTGATGCAGAATCCTATTTAATGACACAACCATAGAGATCATGAAATCCAGATGTTCAAAGGTGCAAATTTTATCCGTTATGTAAGTTGATTGATTAAGGTCTGTAGCTAAAAAAACTAGCTTGGACTTTTTGTCTATAGACTGGCGATTGATCTGATTTCTCAATATTTCCTTTCGGTATGCTCGTTTCAAGGTATTATGAAAATTGTCCTGGAATAACCTTGGAAAAATTACAGTTTATTGGAAAAATTCACCAAACCTGTGTTTATAAAATCCAGAAATTAAAATAGATTGGAAAAGCTTTAGTTAGATAATTTCCTAGGAAAATGAACGTACTCATAAAACTATCGATCAATGTCGCCGATACAATTGTTCATTTGTATATCAGGCAGCTTATACATAGACAGGTGTTTTTCAGTCTTGTTATTCTTAACCCAAGAACTAACAGCAATATACAGCAGTTTGATGCCAGGAAGTGAAGCAGTTTAAATAAATAATAAAATAAATCTAATATATGTTGAGGTATTATTTATTTGCTATGTCATTAGGCGAGGAAATGTAGGAAATGCACAAAACTGACACAGTTACATGTTGAAATTGTTAAGAAAATGATGAAATTGTTTGACGACCGATATTGGTTAGAAAGCTTTATAGTCGTTTTTAATTCCTCAATATACAGGGGAAATATCAATAATATGCTAAAAATAATAACAGAATATAATTAAAGTGAGTTGATATATTTCTGTGTATTACGGCTGAAATTAAAAATTTTGATTGAAAAGTCATGAGGTTGTTTTATGGGGCATGGAAATAGATTTTGACGATAAACAAGGTTCTCAATGGTAATGATCCTAGGCAATACTGAAGTTACAACATATTTAAGAAAAACAAACGTAGGCCTTATACTTAACACAGGTATGCGGTATATTTACCAACTATTCACGGTAAAAATGCCTCCACTTTATAGGGTGTCTCAAAGGAGCGGGGCCTTACAGAATAGCACATTTTTATAGCCAGAAAATTTTTGAATTTGTATTCATTAAATTCGGCTCAAACCACAAGGTCACATGACAATTAAGTGGTTATTCCTACAAACCATCCTTCAATAATAATAAATAAGAGGTGGCACATTGGAACCCCTCTAATTCCCACAATTCCTCCTTCACAGTGTGATCTTGTGTTTAGAAAAATAGTTTTAATGAACATTGACACCTAGGAAGAGAAGAGCCATCTACAATGGTAGCATATTCTAATACATCAAATTATAACTAATAAAGATTCTTCAGTGAACCTCTATAAATTAATAAATGAGAATCATTAGCTGACTTCATCTTCAAATAAATCATTTAATTACAGAATTTAAAAAAAAATCAGACAATAATTTAATGTCTATACAGAGTGGAAAAATAAGATTGAGAGCGCGACCAGTGGTTGGGGGCATTGTGCATGTCCTGAAGGCATTTTGTTTAGCTACCGGCTACCACTCTTTTGCTATATAGCGTATTTTTCTAGGCCTTCAAAAATAATATAGAAATTTATATAGCACCTTTTGCTAAAGGATACAAGGCACTTAGATAAGTGGACTAGGAACTCAATCAATGACTTTCTTCTCCCTAAAGGGTCATTTCGTGGTGTTTGTGCTACCCGGTAACCCAGTGCCAGCAACTCAATCAAATACGTAATATATGTACCCAGTAGTTAAAAATCCACGCCATAAACTATCAGATGCACTGATTATGTTTAAATAACATAGAATGAACGTTACTCCAAATAGAATATAGGAAAACAAGAGAATCACGATGAAAAGTAGCACACCACCACTATGCCCGCTTCACTCACTATAGAAATGTCATGACCACCATTTTGAATGTTTCTGTATTGTTTAAGCAGACTATGTATGTTGAGTATTGAAAAATTTGACTTCGTAAACATCTCCAGTAACCAAGGTATTGTTTGCTTAACAAATGAAATCTTGTTGAAGTAGAGTACAACTTGTTAAATAGCAGTTTTACAGTATGTTAATATGTAGGTGGGAAGAAAAACAGTATGGGAGTAGGCTGGAGGGTGGGGAGGGGAGAGGTG